TATATATATATATATATATATATATATATATATATATATATATATATATATATATATATATATATATATATATATATATATATATATATATATGTATATAAAATATATTATGGTGAAATGATGTTACCAATCGTTCCATTCGAATTTCTTAAGTGGATGATGTCGCTGAAAAGAAGTATTGTGCACAGTTAAAAATACCTGTATTGTTTTATTTTCCGCTAGAAAAAGAAAAAAAGAAAAAATTACAAAACTGAAGTTTTTCAAGTCAAATGAACACATATTGTTTTAACTTAGTAGATAAGTAAATGAAGCATAGCAACAATGCTTTATAATTTCGCAAAATGTGTTTTTTCTTTTATAGTGATTTCTTATTCTCATAACAATGTACCTCTCACTTGAACTGTATTTGTGAAACAAATGTAAAAATGCATTCGCTTTGATAGCTTGTTACTAATTGCTTCGTTTCTGCGCTCTCAGTCTTCCGATTCTATCACCTTTTTCAACTTTCCCATCTGTTCTTTCTGTTCGTCCCGGATTTTTCTTTTCAAATGAATTATACTAGAAAGTGTATATACTATAGTATATTATCCTTTAATGCGTAGTGATAAACGAACTAGAACTACCGCCGTTTACCATTAATTCTTTTTCTGAGCAAAAATTTACGTTGTTTTTAATCAAAGGAGAAGCACTGTAATATTCGGTCAGGCTTTAGCATCTTGTTTATTTGGTTTTATTATAGAAGGGGACGTTCCCATCGTGTTTTGCGAGCGGTGCGAGAAAAGAAAGTAGAATTTTGCCTGTTTTTCTTTTATTATATTTTTCTCATAATCGAATGATGGGATGTACGCTTCCTACAGTGTGTCGTACTAAGCTGTATAAAAATTATTTTTTAGTAGTGTACATTAGTACATCTATTGTCAATAAATTTACAGCACAGAGAATATTTTAGCCAGAATCACAGTGTTGTTGATTACTGGAGGTCTTCGTCCTTTTAATTTTTTTTGTTCTCCATTAAGAAGTTGTCGATGTAATATAGCTTTCTGTTAGCTTGGTTTATACGGTATTCTGGATTGAATACAGTTTCTGCTGTGTATAAATTAAATTGATGCTTTTAAAAGTCTTCACGGTGAAATGCCTATGAGAATCATGTGGCTATAATTAGAAACACACAATCTTGGATAAAGTACTAACTTGGTAAAGAGATCTGGTGTTTTACCAAGAATTTCAACTGAAATATTGTGAAATTCTTGAGTTCTTGATTTTTTTATGATTGTTTGACTCCGATACGCAGCCACAATGGTCGTTATGGTGCGATTTGATTTTGTTCTGTGACTTCTTTTACCGTCAGATTTGGAAAGAAAATATTCTTAAAACGTTGCCTCTTAACGAAATTAACAATTTGTTCGAAATTCTGCAAATTATTTACGAGTCAAATTTATTACTGGAAAGGAAGAGCCACTGCGGTTTATCGATGATTGCTGTGAAGTTCTTTACTTAGCCTTATTTCTTAATAATTTTCATTTATTTGCTTATCTGTTCTTTGTTAGTTGTCGATTTATTCATTTGCTTTGGCCCTAGTTTTCTAATCCCTGTTTTCAAGGATAAAAATTCTCCGGTTTAGATATAAGTGGGATTGTAATAATTATCAATTATAGTAAAGGATAAAAACATGACAGAGTGTGCTGTACTTATAAATCCAGTCAACATCTTTTGTACATTTTAGAATTAATTTAAGAAGTGGGCTGTATCATCGGACATTATGTGGTTGCATCTGGTGAAAGTATACATGCTATGTCAGTATTGAAGCTATAAGTGCTCTATATTTTCTTATTTCTACTTAGTTCTTAAACTTTCTCGACAAACTTAAACATACGAAATGAGAGGGATAGCATGAGATGACCTTATTGCAATGCGGTGGGTTAAATGTTGTTCATCATTTCAGATCTTTATAGTAACATGCGTCAAAGTACTGAAATATTTTTTTTTTACAGACATTGAGGGGTGGGTCAATATTTAGCATTCATTATTACCCGCAAAGACAAATAGGTATCTAGTATTGGAAATGCTGATGGAAGAAATGAAACTTTTTTTAGTCAAATTGGAAATTTGTAAATGAAATAGTAAAAGAAGCTTGTCGTACTGTTCCCGGAAGATTTAGTAGAATGGATGGAATTCGGCTCACCAAACCAAACCAATCATTTCCGAGTTTCACCTGCTGCTTTTGTCACAGATGGTTTACAGTTGATGGAATGAAAATGACCAACTCTTTTATCTAATACTGCGGACAATAAAATATCTATTTTGTATTAGGTTGAAAGAATTGAATTCTCTCTTTCTATCCTAATTTTTGTTTGCTATGAAAGATTCTCTTCGTGAGAGAATCTGTTGAGTATGGAGCTTTAGTGATCTCAAATAAGAAAGTAGAATACAATCAACTCTTCATTTTGAACACAGTTATTTAACTTTCAGAATCCTTTATGCGAACATTGGGTTAAAGAGAAAGAAGGAGAGAGATTTAAGGAATTTCTTGTTACCGATGAATTTAGTTCGGTGGTTTGAATTGCTTGCTTATCAGAACATATCGTTCGTTGCTGTAATCTTTTTTTCTGCTTAGAATGATGATTTTGTCCTTATTATCTCTTTGTTTGCGTTGTTTTCACCATCCATTTCGTCAGTTGGAATGTTTGTAGGTTAAATTTTTTTTCGAATGACGTATTTGACAGTTGGTGAAGATATGCGGTGCTCAGTGATTGTCAGCAACGTTACCCAATCTAACGAATAGTATATACACATTTCTTTCAACTTCTTCAGGCACAACTGTTATATGACACACTAATCAATCAGGTAAAACTTTTTTTTTACTTATGAATAATATCTCCTCCCATACTTGCCTGTTTTTTCTTTTTGGAAGTGTTATATTCTAGGTGTTGAGTGCTCTAATCATTTGAGCTTGTCGTTGTCGTACTACTATAATTAGATTTTTTGAGTTCCTGAGTTATCTGTTTAACCTCCAAATGACTGTTTCCATTTTTGTGGCATACACTGAGGATGAGGTGAGAAGCATAAATTGATGAGTGTTTAGAAAACGGGGAGAAGTGGGTAACTTTGCCACAACATGACGCAGGAGTTCTCTCCTCCACTTTACTGGTAATTCCACCGGTGTGTCTTAACGGCGCTTTCGTCATAACTCAAACGGAACGGTTTTTATGTCATATGCGCAATAGTGAGAACTTCTACATAACAGACAGAACGAGGGGAAGAGAGAAGGGGAATGCAGTGTGGAGTGTGGAAGAGGAGGGACTTCACTAATCAACGAAATTTATAAAATGTTTGGCAGCTGTTGTGTGGCAGCCATTGCATGGCAATAGTAGGAAGTCTCTCTTTTCGATTTTTACTATCATCGATCGAGAAGAGTGGAACGTGTTTGTGACGTGTTCTCTGTTTACAATATTCCGCTGATGCTTTTGTGCTTCACATAGCTTGTCCCACCCATTTTTCTGTACATAATTGAGGTATGATCGCAACGTAACTTTGATCCATGCGTGTACATGGTGATATGAAGTACTAGAAGAAGTATCCACTTTTTTACATTTTTCACTTAATGCACTGAAGTGAGGATTCGTGAGAAAGATAGAGAAGGGCGAGGACACATCATCAGCAAATTATCCATAATCCATCTCTCTCCCTTTCTCCACTTTTTATGTTAAACAGTTTTAATCCACTCACATTCAGAAATTTAGGAAAAGTATTCGTGAGATTTGTCAAAACACGTTGCATCATACATACGGTTGAACTAGTAACTTAACTTAGAAATAAGCAGATATCACTTCTTCCTGTTTGTTATCGTAATTATTAAGCTATGTTTGTTTTGTTTGCGCGTCATAAGACAAATGGTACTGGTATGTAACCTTTAGTTATTCATTCGAAGCTATTCTTCAGGGAAAATGTCAAACAGAAAAACCGAATCAGCACCATATGCTGTACTTCCTGGAACAAGCAATTTAGGTATCGGAAATGTTATCCAAAGTGCATCATCACCGCTTGTTGACGTTGATAGGCACGGAACATCTGAAGTTACACATACCGGTAACTTCTTAAAATTCTTCAATGTACGTTGCTTTTTTTACATCAATTAAATATAAATTATCATCTGTGACTTACAATGGTTTTGAAATCTTGAAATATGCTTAGTTTAGGGAATCTCTTTAAATTTTACGACCATTGGAAAGATTAGGAAACCGAGGACACGGCAGGATATAATGTCCAAAATTCTTCGAAATTTTTGATCAACTTAGTTTTTCTCGATATTTCTGTTAATAAGTTTGGTAATCATTTCAAAAATTGACATTACAAATATTGCCCTCCATATTCACTATGTTTCAGGCCAGTGGTATGTTAAATATTTTTGGACGTGGTTTCTTGGCAGAACCTGTGCTGCGTGATGAAGAAGAAAGCTATCGTTATCTGATGGCTTTAGATCGTTACTAAATGAGAAAGATTATAACTTCTCATGTCTCATATCTGTTCATCGATGATTATAGTCGAACTTGCTCTATATTTCTTCTAGTTCCTTCTGTTCTTTTTTTCTCTTCCCATGGGTGAATCTATTTCTATGATGGTTAGGTTTCTCGTTGCAGTGGTAACTGCTAAGCTCATTTTCTCAGGGATTCAATAATTGAGCACTATAAATTACATTTTTATTTTTCATTATGGAGTAATTAGAAGCAGGAAATTTAATTTTTCAACATTTTTTAGATGGTTGCACCTTATGCCACTAATTCAGTTCTCGCAACCTTTTTTTATTCAATTTTTTTTTTAGACTACCTTTGATTTTGATTCTCTGTGTAGCATGGTTTATATCCATTCGGATAGAAGTTATGGTATTGTATTTCTGCCTGTTTTCTTTTCAGTTCACTTTTTTGATGTCATGCACTTTTGTACTTTTTCAAGAAACATGAGTACGCGTCTTTTTTCTTTTTTTTCTTTTTTTTTTAATATTACCAAATTGGAAGCAGTAAGTCAAATATATGCATTCAGGTTAATCCAAAGGAATCCGAGGGAACGGATATTATAATCGTAAGTGTCAATCAGTCCTCTTTGCATAGAGGACCTTGTGTCTGAATACAAGCTCAACCACATTAGCACGCATTCTCACGGAAATGTATACCACACATATTTATTTACGGAAATTTCGTGAGTTGACCACACCATTGATGGGGCTAATTTTGCCGCACTTAAAACAGCTTTTTTAAACATTAACTCGATGATTTTGTTTCGGATTAAGAGAATTTCTTTCAATTTTCCATAATTTGGAAAACTTGGTTTACTACAAAAAAACAGTGCGGGCAGGTTTTTATCTCCCTTTCATTTTATCCACATATGAGGGATTTTGATTTTCGGCCAAGAAAGAAATTTTGGGTTAGGGGTTTTTGAAAATTCTTCGCATTCTAAAGAATTTTGTTCCAAGAAGTGCGTGATCACGAGAGCGCATGACGTCTGTGCAAGAGATAATTTTTTTTCTGGGTCAAAAGCTAAAGTTAAGAAGAGGTGAGTTTTTTTTCAAAAAAAAGAGTTATCCAAATGTAGCTTCAGTATTTGTCGACTGCTTTGATTAGCTTTTACGAGGACTGTAATTACCTCATATTTTATGGGTTTTACAGCTCAAAGAAAAGAGTTGTGTATCTCTTTTAAAATGGTGTTTTGAGTAGTATGTAATATATTTAGAATTTCAATCTCTACCATTTGAAATGTTTGGAACTCTGTCTTGCATATAAGTTGTTTTGCTTAGCTCTGATTTTCGAGCGGGTATTACACGTTTTTTACGTCGACTAATTGGTGTACAGCGCAATACCGAAACTCAGATTTTATTCTCTCCATCACTTTGAAAATTGTTTTTTTATTCCTTAGTTCTTACTGCTTTTGTATCAAATGGAAAAGGCGAAGTGACTAATATCTATCTATGGAAAATGTCCTTGAAAGTTGAAGTTTTGCCTTCATGATATTTTATCTGCATAGAGGGATTCACTTTCAGCTAAATCAAATTTTTATTCAAATAAAGCTTGAAATTTCCTCACTTAAAATCGATTTTGGGTGCGTGTTTCAGCTGCCACTTTTCGAATACCTAGAACTTTCCTGCAGAGTTTGTGGGCTTCTTGTTGAACCTAACCAGCGACTAAATAGGTAGCCGATATCGAGAACTCACAGCAGGAAATTCATGCTGGACTTGGCTGGCATGGGTTTGTGACATCAGCAAGAGATTTGCTGCTGTATCCAATACCCGGCATGTCCTTTAGCTAATGCACGGATGCACTGATGTTGTGACACTGTTAAGCAGTGCAATGTAGTTACTTCCTTCGTTTTTGGATAAATGTTGGGAAAATATAAGTTAAGAAGTTATCCGCAGTAATAATAATCTGTGAGGCATTTTATTTTTATGTAACAGTGGTTTTGTGGGATATTTCTTTTGTTTTTAATTAGTGAGTGTTTCTGCTTGAACCGATCTATTTCCATAATGGAATCATTCGTAGAAATGTTGTTCGAGCTGATATGAAACAACGTCCATATCATATAGAATTTACAGACACATACGTCCATATCATATAGAATTTACAGACACATACAACCACAATTAATATTTGATTCACTGACATCTTTGATCAAGACTCATTTTCAATCCCATTTTACAAACTATTGTACTTTATACAAAACTTTCACAAACTTTAACTTAAGGATGAAATACCAGGTCTGTAATATCCACCCCATCTATGGTGCATCAAAGAGAAGCGTATAGAAATTGAGGAAGTGATTTAAAGTGGAGTATTCCGACATATCTGACTGGAAACTCTTAGTGAGTATGATTAAAAGATAAGGGGAAAAATAAGCACATAGTTTAGTGGAATTTCAATATGTGCTGTGTAGTCGTTTACATTTCACTGCACGGCCTTTTTTACTCCCCCCTCAATTTCCAGCATATCAAAGTAGCTTTCTGTATTTAATGTTAAAATGCACGATAATTCGTAATGTACCGTCTCAGGCAATATTTCAACAACCTGTTGATACTACAACAAAAACAACAGCAGCACTGCTTTTCTCATGTATGTTCCAGCCTGTAATTGAATCAATTTTCAACTTCCCTCTTCCCTTTAACATATTGAAATCCTTTGTTTCTTGGTTTCTCGACACAAACATTTCGATTTGTCATTCCATTCCAGAGCACTATTTTTAGAGGGATACCAATGGCGATGAATTTATTGGATGGATTCCAGTTGGTGAGTTTTCTTTGGGCCCACTAGTCGTCATTTGATGATTCTTGATTTTGCCCATATTTTAAATGTAAACAAGAAAAAATGTCATATGTAAAACGCATGCTTTATTTTGGTCATTTCATTATACTTCAATATCATTAATTATTTTATATTAGGTTACTCTGAAAATCTTATATTAATTATACTAAAAATACAATTGTATCATGTAAGTGAAAAAAGTCGATGGCACTGAAATAAGTCGGAAAAGAAGAAATATCTTTTAAAAAATGATAGGAATAATGAGAAAAAGTAAAATCTTGATGGTTTTTCAGTTACTATATTTATTTAATTGGATATCAGTGACACCATCTGGTGTAGTACTCCAAACCTGTAAATTGCCTATGAATATCTATGAAAATTACCTATGAAATTGATCAGAAATAATATGTTTTTTCCCACATATTTCTTAAAGAAAAGCACGCAGGTGTTTTAATTTAAAGACAAAAGGTAATTTAAAATACTGCATTAAAATTTGTTGATTTTCACTTCACTCAATTAACTATCAGTCAACTAAATTAATTACCGTCTATTCTCAGAAATGATTCGTGAAGATAATACTTATTGCATTTATTTGAATTTATTTCTATCTTCAACTGAATGTCAAACGATTACCTCGAATTCGATCATTTATTTCCATAACTGCCCACATACCCAAAATTCAGTATTTGAATTCTAATAAAAATTTAAAAAATTTTTGCAGATAAAATTGAAAAACGGTTCATGCGAAGCAGTGGTCCTGGCGGCCAGAATGTTAACATGGGTATGTTCTGGATTAACTGTTTTTCCACTTTGTTGACTGCAGCAGTATAAATATTAAAAAAATTGCCTTTGGTAACCATTTAATCCTTGATCTTAACATGAAAAAACTCTGTAGTGAGAGGAATTTTGTTTCTATTTTTAATTCGTGAACTGTTAAGAAAACGAATCAAAGAATTGTCAGTTTTGAATAGAAAAAAGATCACTGGCATAGCTTGAGTTCCAGTGTTTCCTGTGCAACTTTCCATCGTTGTGTATTGTGTACTTAGCGAACCGATGGGTTAATCAATTACGCTCTTGGGCATTTGTTTTCTATCCTTGTCATATTTCCTGATTCCTGTTGATAACTTGTTTAGACGAGTCTTTGGCATGTGGTAGGTTTCTTGTTTATACCCATGGCGTAATCAATATTGAGGTGATGAGGATCCACTGAGGATCCGCAACAAAATTTTGAACCAGTTATTGGTATTTCAGGTGCTTCGACATATAGGCACAAACACTCATGCATAAATACACATTATATACATGTAAGTATCGTATAGGAAATTCGATAAATATTTGACTTTCCATTGAACATGCTGATTAAAATTATAAATATCAATACCATGCATGGATACTATTTTCAGAACGACACTGTAAATAACTTGAAAATAATTTAGCTCCTGCAAATAACATTAAAGATTAAGTCCCACTCATATCGCTTAGGTCTGCGCGTTATAGACTTCTTAAAAAAATCATCTCAAGCAATTGTTTGGAATGTTATCAAAAATGCTAAATAATTACTTGAAGATGTTTCATTTAATTAAATACCTAAAAATTGGCTTCTTTGGCATGAAAAGTCTGTGTATTAAATTACCGAAAAAAGCTATTTTTTCAGCAAATTGTGGGAAAAATAATTTTCCGCTTTAAAATACTTGTTTTATAAATTTTTTATAAAAAACATACCTTGTTAAATTTTTTTGTTATTTTAATTGTTTTTAGATTCCCTTTTTTGAAATACTTTCGCTTTGAATTTAACTTAATTTTACCATATGTCTTGATTTATTTTCAGTGAATACAAAATGTCAAATAAGGTTCAATTTAAATGAAGCGAACTGGTTGAGCTCGAGAATTCAAGATATATTCCGGAAACGTTTTGTTCGACTGCTCAATAAACAACACGATGTTGTGATTTCGTCAGATAAATCGAGGATTCAGGTAACGTAGTTGTTCTGTTGCTGTAGATCTAATGCTTACTGTAAGAATGTCTGCAGATAAATTTTAATTGGAGGGTATATACCGTTATGAGTTCTTGTAGTTTTCTTCTAAAGAAATTGGCAAGAAAAGAATTCCTTAAATGAGGGAAATCTTCGATGCTTACCTACAATCTTGTTGATTTCTGACCTAGAAGAATTTTTGCAGGAAGAGTTCAATTTCTGGATATATTTTATGTTTCTTGTCATTAGCACTGATAAGTTTTCTGTAGATTCAAGCAGCCACTCATATCTGCTATTTCTAGGCAGAGAATCAGGATGACTGTTTTAAAAAACTGCGGGCTTTGTTATTGGAATGCAATAAAGAGCTCCTGAATAATAGATCGCCGACACGTCAGGATAAAGCTATTCTAGATTACAGGTATACTTTCCAACTAAAATCAAAGTAATTTCTTTTGGGTTAATATAGTAAAACCACTCGAACTGTATTTTAAACTACTCTGAACAATTTGTAAATCTCATTTTTTACTTTTTTTCATGAAATGTTCATATGAAACATCACGCAGTTTTCTGAATACGATCTTCAAGTGATCCTTCGCCTTATCCTTTAGATTTTTAATAGTTGCCTTCTGCCTATCCTATTTCCCTTTATTAGTCGTTCTTTCTTGAATTGGAAGAGCAAAGGGAGAGGATAATAGAATTTCTCATCATTTGTCGGTTCATATGAAGCTTATTAATTCCAGTTTTTTAAATGTCACTCAAATAATTTCAATTTTAAGCAAGTAATTACATGTTTTAGAGCAAAAAGAGCAGCACAGCGGAGATTGTATACAAAACGCATGCAATCTCGGAAGAAGAGAAGTCGAGATCCGTATGAGTCTATTTGAAGTACTCTCGATTGTTTTTGTTTAAATTTATTTTGTATGACAGGTAACAATGGTACTGGAAAAATAACTAATGTTTCAGTTAAAATGAAAGGTTTATTAACCTCCAGTTTGAGAATCTTTTGAATAGCTCGTTTACGACGATTTTTGCGATGCTATTAGATTGCTATTATGGTGTCGTTAAAATCGCCAGGCGAAGCAGTGAATAAATAATTTCTTCGTTGTTTAATTTAATACTGCTGGGCATAATATGTTGTATGTGTGGATATACTTTTTTATTGTAAAATATGAACTGAAATTGTGCATCCATTGTGTCCATGTATCCATGTGCATGCGCTAACAAGTGTTAATTCTTGTAACCTGAGAACTGTACCAGAATCCGCCATACTTGAGAAAAACAGAGTCTTGAGCACTAAAAACGTTTCTTAAAGACACGTTTCAACGACGTCGATTGGATAGGCGATATCGAGCGTCATTGGGTTTCTTATCCCATTGTTATCGTCATTAACTGTAATCGCTGAGTTCGTTGTTGTATCAACAAATTTGTTGTAATAAAGATTTAATTACCCAAGTTCGAGGTACTATCAACCAAAGAAGCCAAAAGAACCCTCAATCTTTGTCACGGTTGAAGAGAATCGTCGACAAATGGTGTTAGCACATGTTGTGGTAAGTATGAGGTACGATGACATTGTTGTTTTATTCTTTTTAAGTGTTACATTTTCTCAGCGTAGTTTGTTTAACCAAGTTCATACCAAACATAGAAAGGAAAAGTATTTTTCTGTGTTTTTCAAACTCTACTTGTTAACATATTTATGCAAGTCTCCATTTCTCTTTATTACCGCTATCCCACACTTTTCATCAGGTCAGGTAAAGTTTATTGAAAAGGAAGCAATTAGTTCTAAGCTAAAGGTGACGCCTATGCTTACTCAATGACTTCTATGGAATCGTTTACTTATTTTTGCTATTTCGACACATTTTTCATTTTACGTAAGAAGAATGAAAATGACGAGAAAAAGAAACGAAATAAATCTGCATTCGTATATTATCCGCATACTAACCGTTAAGATATGGAGATCAGTTTTATAAAAGAAGTTGGGGTGCTTTGTAAGTGCAGATAAATAGAAGTTTGCTACTTAATACTAAGTAGTAAACAGCAATGATAGTAGCATTGTTAAGAAATAGGTGACAATTTGGTCGGTGAGAAATTGATAATGAGAACTATTTGAGAGTTATTCGATGAAATTCATTCCATGAATGCAATCGAGCTATATATCACATATATCATATATATACATATAAATGGAGTCGGAATAAAGGACGAAGCAGACAAATGACATCATTTATAATGATATCTTTATAATCACATATCAAAAATTGGACTGCTAATAACAGTATTATTATCAGTCATTTTTATTTACAATAAAATACCAAATAAAATTTTTTGTCTGGAAAAATTTTTGCCCAGATTTCTAAACAGTTTTATTTGGCGGTGGCAAATGTTTGAATAGCTGTCATACGCTGTAATTTTTAATAGATGCCACCTTTTTTCTAATCTTAGTTCGAATTTATTAAGAATAACAGAGATTAAATGGAACTATGAATTTCCGATTTCTGATAACAGTAGGTGATAATGATGTCATGTATGAATTTCCGATTTCTAATAACAGTAAGTGATAATGACATTATATCGTAAAAAAATTTTCGAGAGTAATTTAGCAGCACTAACATTGATGATATCACTAATTACTTAATATTAAATTCAACTTTTCCCTATAATTTAATGTTTTTATTTGAAAACCTAAGCATTCATAAAATTTTTCCCACATACTACCAAAAGTTTCACCTGGTGATTGGCTGCATATAATCTTCGACGTAATTTAAAAACACCCGATACTATTAGACCTGAAAAGAACATTATAAAAAAACCACTTTAATCAGCTAAAATATTTTTACCAGAAATTTAATGATTATGCCAAGTACGACATGATAAGCTATTGCAATAGCTTCGCTGAACTTTAATATTATTGGACGAACTACTTTACTCAGCTGAAATATTTCTTGCATGAAAGCATAACGCTGTAAGTACAGAATCGAAGTCAAATAGTTTATGCTTCAGCTAAGCGTAATTGTAAATTTACAAAATCCTTAAAAAGCTCTACAGTATTTTGAAGTTTTTAGAAATAATTTGAAACTATTGTTTATCTTGTTTAACAAAATCTGATTTTTGCTTGGGAAAACATTATTAGTGAAAAAATAATAAAAAAACTCAAAGCATAACAAATTTGGGACAGGAAACAAAAGTTAGCATAATAGGAAAGCAGAAAAAACTTAGTTTGAAAATGAATTATGTTCTTAAGATAATAATCTTTTAGGTTTAATTAATATCAGCTAGTTTTAGATTACATCGAAGATTATATGTAATGAATGATCGAGTGAAAACTCCAAGTCTGTCGTGAAAAGAATGTTACCTGGTTTGGAGGGGAATGAGAATGAAGTTTTTGTATTGCCTGACACAGACACAAGATGGCTGATAAAGGTTTATTAACAACAAAGTTTATTGGTTGTTGATATATAGCAACAACTCAAACCAGATTGAAATATAATTCAGACGATTGAGTAGATAACGATTAGAAGGTCTAACATCAATAGGACGAAAATGATGACAATCGCAAGTGATAAGTACCTAAGTCTTTAGTTTTTAGAACTTATATAATGAGGCATTTACATATACATACAGTTGCATACAAGATCTTTACAATATTCCAACAACTGCATACAAGATTAATCCTCAGGAAAGAAGAATTCACATGAAAATTAAATAAACTCATAACTTTAGATATGGGAAAACATTCATTTGATTTCGTATGCAAAGTGATGAATCTCTTATGTAGGATATATCCTAAACAACAAATACTTTGATTGATCGTATAAATTTCTCTCGATTTGCGACAATCTAGTATGTATGAAAGGTTTTACAAAAGATTTTCGCATAAAAAAATGTTAAATTATAGGAGGAAGACAAATTTGATGTTAACTAATTAGTAAAACTATTAATGTTTAGTGCTTTAAAAACACTTCAAAATTTTTGCTGGAGAAATGACTTTCAAATGATATCATTATAACCTACTGATATCATAAACCTCACAATTCCATCCAATCTCTGTTATTCTTATCAAATCCCAACTAAGATTAGAAAAAAGATGTCATCTATTAAAAAATATAATATGTGGCAGCTATTCAAACATTTAATGTTTTATTGTAGATGAAAATGGCAGTGACAATAGTACTGTTATTAGTAGTCCAATTTCTGATATATGATTATAAACGATATCATTTGTCTGCTTCGTCCTTTATTCCGATTCCATTTCTCCCTCTCTCTCTCTCTCTCTTTATATATATATATATATATATATGATATATGTGATATATAGCTCGATTGCATTCATGGAATGAATTTCATCGAATAACTCTCAAATAGTTCTCATTATCAATTTCTCACCGACCAAATTGTCACCTATTTCTTAACAATGCTACTATCATTGCTGTTTACTATTTAGTATTGAGTGGCAAATATCGGATTATTTGCAAAAAAAGTAAAGATAATCACATTCTTTATTGATGGCAAAAGTTTTTTTTACTACAAATTCCCAAATGCCTACTTTGAAAAAAGTTTTTTTTTTTTTTTCACAACGTCGGTTGCAGTCTGTTCTTTTAAATCAATCCGTTATTCAGCTTCTCCGTTATATATATTTGGTTGACGAACGCAATAGATTATACATGATACTATTTTTTCGGTTTACTTTAAATTCTCATTGTACGAAATTATATTCAAAAAAAAACTCTGAATACATATCATCAATTGAAATAACTAAGACCAAAGATCAATTCCTGCCTTAGATCTATTTTTTTTTGCAGTTAATTAAAAAATACAGGATATCCCAATATCAGTTTAATATTCTAAAATGTTCCAAATATGAAATGATTGATGCTTTCATCTCTTTGCTATTCTGTTGTTGCTTTTCAGCTAATCATCCATTAAATATAGAATATTATTAATATTGTAAAGTTATTTTGATGCTTGACAAAACGGAACTATACCGAAAAGATTATTTGAATGTTCAGAAGTTAATTGTGCATTTGCAAATTGATATTGTAAATGTGAATCAATTATCGTCTAATATCTCTGATGAGATAGCAGTACATTCCTATCACTAATTAGCAAATGTCCTTTGGGTGGTTAAAGAAAAAAAGAATAATTTATCTCCATAATTTCTGTTTCAAATTTCTAGCATCATAATTTAAATTGTGATGAATCAAAGAAAATCGCATCAGTGATAAGTTGAAGCATTAAAAGAATTAAAATTTAGAGTTCAATTTAGAATTTAAATTTGAACTCGTGGTTTTTCATATCTTTTTCTTGAATAATAACTTAATTTTGATTGCGAGTGGACCTTCTTTTTTCAGATGGTCATCCATATATTTCAGGGAATTGATAAATTTAATGAAATCACTTCCATAGTTTCCCGTTTCAAATCTATAACATAAATCTTTTCTCGGATTCTTCGAAAATTACGATCTTTATTAGAAAATTTCTATGAGACACCGAATTATTTGCACAAATAAGAGAACAATAAGTTTATAAAGCCAATGGGAAGCATTTGATCAATCGATCTACTACGAATTGAAATAAAACGTCCATAAGATTAGTTAAATGACTACAGTTCATAAAAATCATTTCACACAAAGCTGAAAAAAAATTTTAGCAAAATGTCCTTTTTGTTTAATTAGATATTAAGGGATTAAGAAATTTGCGCTCCACTGTCAAGACATTTTCCAAAAATTGCCCTTTATAAGAAATGTTTATCTTTCCATTCCACTGATACGATTTTCTCTGCAGGTACTACCATCTGTCCTTGTGTTGATCGAAGATTACAATGAATCGAAAGGAAATCGCACTAGTGATAAGTTAAAGTATCCAAGAAAATTTTGATGTAAAATATATAACACTCATTTAGATAAAATTTCACGCAATCTGATCGTCACATGTTTTTCCCGGCGATATATACCTATATCGCCGAATGTTTCAAATGAAGGGAACAGTTGAATGGGTAGAAATGATTTTGCAACTATTAGATTGATTCTTATTCATTTTCAAGAAATTAGTAAACAAGTTTATTTTGTACCATAGATGTATTATGCGAGGACAAAAGAGTTTTGTTATTCAGACCGGAAATATAATCATACCACTAAGGTTACAACCATTGGATCGAGATTGTTAAGATAAAATTTACCGGTCAGTTTTTCTCATTTGCAATATTTAAAGGGAATGGAAAATCAATCGGTATATTTAAAATATTTTCGTTTACGAGATCAAATTAAACATGACAACTGTTGATGTAATTATTAAGATATTATTATTTTACTTCTTTTCCACGTTGATAAAAGAGAAGCCTGTGATCCAGTTGTTGTAAAAAAAATCTGTTTTATTTCATCCAGTTCTAAAGAGTTTATAGTTCATAATGTTTATTTGTGACTACCAAATAGAAAAATCTGCTGCTCTCACTTTCCGATTTGTTTCAGTTCCTTTGGAATATTTCGTATTTTATCTTAACAATGATCACACAATTTTGTTATTTAATTTCGAGATTAGATTTTCTGCATTTTACAAAATCCTTTTTAAGGATCAATATTGAAATGGATAGAAGAATTAAAAATTTATGGCATTACAAATTCCATCATAAGTTTAATATTTGTCAGCGAACGCTTGAACTAATATCGGAGTGATATCATCAGTACAGGTGAAATTTATTCAATTTGTGCTTGGTCTTAATGCCAAATAAGTAATAGTTTAATTTGGATTCATTCAACCAGCAAACAATGTGAAAAACTCATCAAATAACAAAAATTTTTAGCAAAATTAAACGAATGATTATAAATATCCGAAAAAAAAAGGAGCGAACGAATCGGATCAATAAAGTAATTTTCTGCTTGTTGTAAGATATGTCTTCACGAACAACATCCATTTTTGCATTTTATCTTCGGGGGACATTCATCACTATTACTGCATTCTGTAAGCAACGAAATCAAAAGTTAAAAGTAATTAATCGATAAGTTTGATCACGCCTTATCATTTGATTCTTTCAAAACGTCTTTTAAAGTTACTTCCTTAAGTTAAAAAGTTTCTTGCATTAATCTACAATACTTCTTAGATTATCAGAATCATTTCAAGTTTTCAAAGCTATTAAAATGCTTGTAGCAACCAAATCATTTGTATAAAGTTAATGCTTAGTTTTTTACTTCCTAAATCAAAATCGTCTTAGGATAGAACATAGAATTCAGCTGTCAAATCAAGATCAGTCATTACTGAAATTTTAAAATCAGCTTAAAATACTTAATGACTTACCGTCATGTGCACCAAAATCATAAACAGCCACAATCCGACCTGGATTCCGTCCCACTCGTATCGTTCTCCTCCTTGAATCAGTACAAGGTTTTTTCATTCGGTTGAATTTAGAAAAAATTTCATCAATTTTTGGCATGCATGCTTCAATTAGCAATACTTGGCACACCAACATACTTATTAAAACTGTCAAATGAATTTTTCTATTGCAAAACATTTTCAATTTTCTCGCGTTCAATGCAAATTTAGATTCAAATTAAATTTGAAAACGGAAATTAGATATGGAATAAATTCGAACTAACACACCAAAGTCTGAAACAAAAGAAAGAAAAAAAATGTAAAACTGAAGCAACTGACTTAATTCAAGTTTGACTTCACATCAGAGAAATGTTCTAATCATCTGCACTCTGAACCCTTCCTGATATTGCTGGTTTTTAATATGCTTGAAACCGCTTTAGCATGATTTCGTTACTTTTTTCATTTAATTTAATCATAATTAATTTGTAAAAAAATCAATCGGTGCTACGATTACTGATAACATTGGTTTAAAAAGGGAAATACTCAGGTACCATTCAGAATTGAAGAATATCTTAATTTTGGCATAATATTCTCCTTTAGTGAGAGACAAGTGGAAAATGAAATAACCAAAAATTTGAAATTAACACGGCTGAACTTGCCAATAACCTGGCAGAATCATCTGCAAAAAAAATACATCAATTAATGACCACTATGCTCAATTCGGAGTCAAAGTCAACTGACCGACTGACCTCTGTGACTATTATGAAGTAGTCTATAATCCATTACATGACGAAGAGTCATTTTTACTCTCCTCAGAATATATTATTCTCATTTTCACGTGTGTGCTCAACGTGTGTGCTTGCATGTTTGTCTGTCCACATACTTTAGTGATGAAAGTATCGTCTTCAAAATAAAACATTTTATCACCTCTAACGGGTCAAGTACATTTCATCTTGGATCAGATCTCTTTTCTTTACCACTTACTGTCCTTATCTTCTCCACGGACATCATTCACTTGTCAGGGGGAAGAAACTTGTGCCCCCTGTGAGATTGCAATCTATGCTGATAGTGGCATATGCATCCGGTAGGGTCTTATATATCAGAGAAGTCTTGACTGAAAGCCTAAACAAAATGTGTCCACGAACAAGATAGGCTCCTTTAGGTAACCATCATAGGAGAACAACTTTTATCCCAAAGTTGGGAAGATGGAGCTCGTTTAGTCTGTAAGGCCATCCATCTAAGAATAAAAGTAAAGGGTGGGACCATTTCCATGCGTTCTGTGCCTCACCCAAAAAATTCACTCCGCAAGCTCAAAGGATACATCCAGTTTTTAAAATCCTGTAGCAATAGATGAGGGATGAAATGGCAGGTAATAAAATGCACTGAAAGCTGCAGACCCAACCTTACATGTAAGCGGTTCAGGACAGTGGTCGCTAGAGATCGATGCCTCGCTGAAGTCTCGCTCGGCAACATCCTGAACGACCAAGCAGCTTTTTTCAAAAACAGCACTGCTAAAAAAGGTAGCCTAACCAAAGCTTATCTCTATCGTCACCCGGATGGCTAACCGCCGGCAATGGGCATCATATGACGCGGTCGAACAAAAACAAAAACACAGAAGCATACCCTGTCTCCAAAGGTATGTTCCAATTGATATTTGCATACTAGAACATCCAAACCATATATGATACTGTGGATAGTGGATGTCCTGAGTGTCATTCTGCTTTAATTCACTATAAAGTGTTACGACTTAACAGCAACACTGCTGCTCTCAGTGAAGTACGTCTTCATGAAAAAGGCAGCCTTAAAGAATATGGTGTCAGCTACAATCTATTGTCAAGTAAACTCAAAACCGAAAGTCACCTTCCAAGGATTCGTCTCATAATTAAAACTTTAGCGCCTCAAAACTTGAAAATTTGTCGACAGATCATTCTGATCGCATTGTTTCTCGCACCTCATTGATTGCGTCTTAGTGCGCCAGAGAAGTGTACGCGATTTCCTCATACTCGAGTAATGCGTGGTGCAGAATGTCAAATATACCATCACCTTGTGCAATGTAAGCTTAACCTTTACTTAAAGCCCAATTCTAAGAGGAGTGGCATTCCAAGGAAG